AGGTGATTGCTGTAGGTCCCTTTCAACTGAAACATGCTATCCTATGCTATCCTATGCTATCCTATGCTATCCTATGCTATCCTATGCTATCCTATGCTATCCTATGCTATTCTATGCTATCCGCTATCCTATGCTATCCTATGCTATCCTATGCTATCCTATGCTATCCTATGCTATCCGCTTTGTGGATAAAGCCAAGCTTTCCTCTGCTGTATTGGGTACTTCTTAGACTTGCTTTTAGCTTGTACCTCTGGCCATCTTAGTTGTGTCAAAGCCCTTGCTATAGGAGAGGACAGCTACAGAAACCTGCTAGAAACATATGGATTACTAAATATCGACAATGCCATTGTTTTGCATGTAATGCTGGAAGGTGACCTTTTAGTTCCCTTTTGTCAAGACGGGAGATTTAGATTAGATATTAGGAAAAAAATTCTCCTTTATGAGGGTGGTGAGGCACTGGCACAGGTTGCCCAGAGAAGTCGTGGATGCCCCCTCCCTGGAAGTGTTCAAGGCCAGGTTGGATGGGGCTTTGAGCAATATGGTCTAGTGGAGGTTGTCCCTGCCCATGGCAGGCGGGTTGGAACTAAATGATCTTTAAGGTTCCTTCCAAACCAAACCATTCTATGACTCTATGATTCCCATCAGTGTTTTAGGAAAAGAGCACAGAATTTCAGGAGCCTGTCCTGTAGTAATAAAAATGAAAAAGTTCCTGCATGTGAGCTCAGGTGGCTCATGGGGTGGCTGTCCCAAACAATTTCCTGAGGATGAAAACCAGAAATTTTCTTTTGTTCTTTTGTTTACAAGTATTTGGAGTGGATTGATTCACTGGAGCAAATTGTGAGAGAGTAAATGCAAACATCTTTTGCAGTTCAGATAAAAGTGGATATTTTTCACTTACAGTGCCCTTATTTTTCTAAACCATGTTTTTGGTATTATACCAGGGTTTTTGTGGAAAATATAGATCTAATTTGCTAACACAAACAACTTACAACAATACAACCTGCATGCTATCAATTTGAGAATAAACATAAAAAGGCATTCAGCAGCAACCAGCAAATTTCCGTGTCCAACTAAATTGCTTTTTAGTGGTCTGGTTTGAATCCCATCTGAAGGCCAACTGATTGCCTGGCTTTCTGTGTTGTTCTATGTAGTATTCCCTAGGGAGGGCAAGAATATACAGTGTGACTATCTCCTGCGGTTATGTCATATCATATGGTATATCATAGCGCTTGGGCTAATTGTAAGCTTGGAAGGACTACTTTTCCAGTCTTTGCGGAAAATTAGTGCAATATTTTGGCTTATGTTCATGGCACCAGCAACTTGTTCCAAAGGAGGAGGAGAAGCAGTGAGCATTATGGTATAACCTGCAGAAATATGTATGTTCCATTCATATATTTTTCTAATACAGGTGGGGTTTGATGTTCCTCCTCCAAGAGAGCTCAGTGCTCGTGAGTGGAGTGAAACTTGATGCAAGCCCAGCTGCTGCAATGTGAATGCATGGTGTGTATGTGATAGACTACATGCTGGGAGCTTCACAGGCAAATAGGAAAGTGCTCTTCTTTCTCCCAGAAAATTTGCAACACAGCTCTTAGGCAAAACATCATGAGAAAAGGAAGTATGAGAGCTCGGTGTAACTGGATTACAAGAGAAATGCTTCCTGCGGTTAGTCTTGTCTATGACTAAGTGCTAGGGGCCCATGCAGAAGCACTAAGCTAGCTAGCCTGCAGTGAGTTCTCTTGTCTGGGTGGAAAGATGGTGAGGGGTCCATGAGCCCCCAGCTAAGTGGTTGCTGCAGCATGTTCTACCCTGTGATGCACCTTGCATTCTGTTTCCTTCTCAGCGCTTGTTGTGGCTGTCCTGCGCTTCATTCAGCTGAAGCCGAAGGTGCTAAATCCTTGGCTGAACGTCAGTGGCCTGGTGGCATTATGCTTAGCCTCTTTTGGGATGACCCTACTCGGCAACTTTCAGGTACTGCACTCCAGGCTTGGACTATTGTACCTGTGCTGTGAGGTTCCTGCTTTTCTAGCAGATCTGCTTAGGTCTTTGAACTACCTGTGATGTGAGCTCAGGAGATAATGTGTCTGGCTGTGCCCCAGCCCTCCTTGTACCTGTTCTGTCACCTCTATCTGCCACTTACAGGGCTCCAGTAAAATGCTGAGATGAAGGACCACAATCATTTTTCACGTATTCCCAGCAGGTTTTTGCACCTGCATGCTTACAGTTGACCTGCCAAGAGCTAGAGCAGGGACCCTATTGAATCTCTTGAGCCCTGAAAATTGGCACAGATGGTCTTGGGTAAAAGGATTGAGCCTGAAGTTTATGTATGCATCTGTGCAAACAGATTTAGCAGACAGTTCAGTGTCCTTCATTTAAAACAGATGTTGTTTAAATCTACCTCCTGCTTGTCCTCACACTGGCCACGTGAGGGACCCACCAGAGGAGAGTGCTATGACTTCTAATGTGACGAGTGCCTGGATGAGGTCCCTCCAATTCTTGATCTGTTATGCAACATTATACAAACAAACAAACAAGCTGTCAATACCACAATGTTGCTCTGTAGGATTGGGTGTCCACTGTGATCATGAGTGTGTCTGTAGTGAAAAAATCAAGGCATTTGTAAGTGGCACTTGGGTTTCCCCATGTCTTTGCTGTCTTTGATGCTCTGCCTCTCACTGAGGTGCAAGTAATGACCCCAATAATGGCAGGAACTGAGAAAGGTCAGTGTAGGCTGGCTTCTTTCCTGGCTTTGCAGGCAGTGAGCTGTTTTTCCTGCCAATACAGAAAGATACTTGTTTTTGTGAAAAGCTAGTACCTGTTTGAGATGTGGAGCAGTTGCAGGAACTTTGTGTCCTCTACAGTTACTTTTTTTTTTTTTTTTTTTTTTAACCTGGTCTTCCTAACTCCACAGCAGAAGCCAAAAACTTGGAGTCTTGTTTTCTCACAAGAGCTTCCCACCTAGGAACTATCAGGTATTTGTAACAGCCTTGACTAGGTGTGAGAAGAGTATTTCTAGTACAGGCAGGCAGTAAGAAGCGGTTTCAACCTCTCCTTACTTTTTTTCACTCCTCAGAGCACATTATTGTTATTTAAAAGTGGATACTTTGAATCTGAACTAATTATCCCCTCCTTGTTAGTTACCTGTATCCTTGCTTTGGTCTTTTGCCAAACCATTAAAGCATGTCATAATCAGACCTTAGTCAGTGCTTTTCCCTGCCTGACTGCTAAACTGAATGTGGCATTAAATCATGTTTCTGGAAAATTACAGATTGGGTGTGTTAGACATTATGGCTGTGACTCCCTTGCAGTGCAGGCAACCTTGGGAAAGTCAGTTCAATCCTTTTTTTGCCCGTACTATGATTTGGACCTACCCTTGAAAAAAACACCTCGAGTTAGGGAAGAAAGGAGAGAGATCAGTGGAGGCACAGTAACTAGACTGTTATCTTGTAGGTTGCATTTTATTTGATGGGAATTTGTTAAATCACTGAACAGGAATCAAGGCTGCAGGGATGAATTACAGACTGCTGGTTTCTTTTCTATAAAAGCGTCAGAGGCAGAGGGAAAAGGGAAATTGTTTGGCTTAAGTTTTGTGCGTGCTGGGCTTTCTAAATGGATTTGCAGCCTCAAGGGATCTCTTTGCAGATTCTTGCACATTGAACCTGGCTGTCCTTTTGCCTTGCAGTATTGCACGGTCCCTGAACCCTGTGAGACACGGGGGCCCAAGGAACAGAGCAACACTTGCACTCCAGAGAGATTTGGTTCATGTTGCCTTAAACCCCAATGGTTGAGGATGGGCAGGAGCAAAGAGGGGACGGGCATTAAAGCTTTTTGGTGGGAGAAACTTGCCAAACCAGGAGCATGTGTCTGTGTTTTGGCTTAGCAGAGGTGTCAGGGCTCTGGCTACCAGTGCTCCATGCAGCGGGCACTGAAGGTTGCACAGTTTGCTTCCATTGCAGGGAGCTGTAGAAGACCCCAGCAGGCTGTCCTTGCTTGCCCTGGCCATCACATCAAGCCAGGCAAGGATTTATTTCTGAACTCTGCATCAATGAGCCTTGAGGGAGCTGTGGAGGCAGTCTCCAAGCAACTGCATTTTCCACTGTGCTTGGGCTTTAGGCAGAAGATCTGCTTGACTATGACAGCTGTCAACTCATCTTGGTTATGTTACATCTTACACCTCTGCCAGAAGACATGATACAGCATCTCTGTCTCACACCCCAGTGATTCCCACTCTCTTCTATTCCACCCCAGCAGCAATCCAAGGTAGCTAGCAGGTAATTCCTGTTGCATCCAAACAATCACCATTTTGTTTGTTCCTAGCTTTCCAACGATGAGGAGATCCACAATGTGGGCACGTCGCTGACCTTTGGCTTTGGGACCTTGGCTTGCTGGATCCAGTCTGCCCTCACCCTCAAGATCAACCTGAAGAATGAGGGGCGGAAAGTCGGGATTCCACGAGTTGCCCTGTCAGGCAGCATCACCCTCTGTGTGGTGCTCTGTATCCTTTTGTCCCACTCCCTGGGAAGCCAGGAATCATATGTGTCCGACACTCTCTGCAGCAGGGAATGTTGGCTTTTCTCACATATGTTGTAGGATCTCAAAGCATTTAGGAATGCTACTCAGCTTGTCTTCATGGCATGACTGGCTTATTTTGTGACTTCTCCTGTTTTACCAGGATGCACTGCTTCACAGATGGGCTCAATTCCTTCATAAATGTTTCTAAAATTTCTTAGTGATATGCAAAGTGGTTACAGTATTGAATAGTATCTGTGTGATTTAATGGCACCACTCCTTAGCTACACAGTAGCATTTAAGTTTATGCTAAATATTGAGATAAAAATTCTCAGGAGAACAAAGGAACAAGGGAAGAAATCAGGTTTCTGAAGATAAGATTTGGATGAGTTTATTGAAATGCTTCAGGGTGCTACATCCAGTTCTGACTTCTTTTAAGATGGTTGTCACAGTCAAGAGCTGCTGGGCCATGTGGACTTCAGGTAAGACTAGGTGCTTTACAAATGGGATTTGGGCTGTGGAGTCTGTGGTCACTCAGACTTGTGGCTTTCTCTCCACCTTGTGCCTGTCAGCCCCACTCCAGCCCTTCTGTTTACACCATCACTCATGCTCTGGGTGTTTGTTTAAGGTGGATTCATTCACTGCATAGTTGCATCAACATTAGTGCTGGGATAAGCTAGAGGGCGGGAATAAATGGTGAGGAATAAGCTAATCCCCCTCTTTGGGGAACAGCCTGTTCTTAAAACATTCCTTAAAACAATGTTTTGAACACTTCAGCCAGTGTCCAGAGGAATAGCATATTGGTGTGAAGATGTACCATCCGTCACCTCTTAAGCTTCCTTGGTAAAATTTGTAGCTGAGCATCATGTTTTGGTGTACCTAACATGGGATTTTGCCTGGTTCCTGCGGTGCTCCCCTCCTCCCCTTGCCCCAAGCCCATAGCTCCCTCCAGGGTGTCTTGGGTAGGGCTGGGCTTCTGACTTTGAGAAGTCCTGGCAGTCTGGCAAAGTT